TTTGGTTGCACAAGTATAATTATACAGTTAGATTAAATTTTAAATAAAATAATTATCAATACTTAAAAGTTAATATAATAAATATATGCCTATAAATTTTTATAAGTATAAATGATATTATATTTGGTATTTAAGATGTATATTTTTTCGTGAATAACATTAATTAGTAATCATATATTTATAACTAATATTGTAAAAATAATTTATATATATTTTTCAAATTAATAATATTTAGTTTAGATACTTACAAAAATAAAACTATACGTTTTGTAAGAGCATCATGGAATTCATGTTTGATAAAATAAATTAATATTTATAAATATAATGTCATAACATTATTCAAATATTTGATAAAACTAATCTATCAATTCTAACTAAAAAATGAATAACATGCAATGTGAGCCAATACTACAAAAAAAGTAAATTGGAACAATGAATATGACACAATTTCAAAATTCAAAAAAAAAAAAAAAAGTTTAACATATGTCAAATTCCAACATAATAATAGTAAGTTCCACTACAACTTAAAATTAGAAAACATAGTAAGTTTATAACCGCATTCAACATCGAAACTCCACTTTAATTGTATCACTCATTATATGCCAAGTTTGGTAATGACTCATTATTTCTAATATTAGGAAGTGTAGTTTTAAAAAATAGAATAATAAAATAAAATATAAGCAATTACATGAAATCACAAGAAGTAAAGGTAGAAAAATAAAAGATAAATAATGTACAAAGAAAAATATATTTTAAAATTTCAAAAGAAATTAAAAGGTAAAAATAAAACTAAAAACTTAAAATAATAGAAATAGAAAGTTATAAAGAAAATAAATTAAAATAAAAACAAAAAGGAAAGAAACTAAAAAGCAACCTTATAATTACACAATGTAATTACCACTAATTCTCACCCTCCTCCTGAGAATTGGAGAGTGTAATTACACCCCTCCAATTACACCCAATTCCATACTGCCAAGTAATTATTTGGCCAAATAAACATGTCAAACTGTGTAATTACACTTAATTACACTCAAATCCATTTGCAAGGTGGCTTTCCAAACAGGCTCTAACTGTATCTTTTGGAGAAGTTTTAAAATACTACAAATAGATACACATATCTTATTAATCAGTAGCTTTGAATCTTAAAAATAGAATAAAGAAATAGCAATAAGAATTCAAAGATTGATGCCGAGCTTAGAGAACGATGCTCTGACCTCTCTCTAAAACTTTTCGGATATCCACATTAAAGCTTTACCATTCCCTGCCATGTCTAATTCATCATCCACTAACGATCAACC